TTCCCCCAACGCTCATGATGAGGGAGAATTGCATCAACAAATTTGTGTGCAGAGGCCAGCTCTGGGCAGGAGTGGAAAATAGAAACGGATAGGCAACAGTCCCGGGACCGAGCTAACCAAGTTTCTAGGAGACGGAGGCGCGCCGAGGCTGTCGTCGGTATTGATGATTTTGATTTTGATCGCACTCCAGAGAGACGGGGTAGATAAAGCGATTTCTCACCATTTTCGACAGATATGGCCCAAAAACAAGGGCGACCTAGGTCCGAGGGCAACCTCTTAGACGAGTCGAGGGATTGGAAGATGATTTCCGAGATGATTTCTTTGGGCAAGGTCAAAACGGGGTAAATGTAAGCGTCGAGACGGGCCTTCAACGTTTTGCGTTCAAGGCGGAGTGCTCAAACGGAGGTCTGAAGAGCGGCTATCTGCGAGTCCACTGCATTCATGCGGCTGCGAGTCGCCGCCGGAGTCAAATTTGGTGCTGGCAAGGCGAATGGCATTGGGGACTGAGAGTTTTGGACTCGGAGCTACGATTTTGGCAGGGATGAGGTGCTTACCTGTTGCTCAGGTTCTGAAAGCTTTTTTTACGTCTTTTGCTGTGGGCCTGGGGCTACCGCTGGTTGGGCATTTGAGGCGGGGAAAGATTGCGGGAAGACTATGTCAAACAAACAAAGGTCCTTTGTCAGGCTGATGCAGCGGCAGGATCCAACCTACACCCACCGGCCTCTGAACAAAAAAAGTAGAAATTCAAAGTGGCTGTTTGGGAAGAGGCGAAGCACATCACGTGTCGGATCAGCGCGTTGCAATCAGCCAAACACCTCCAAATTCCCGTCAAATCGCTGCATTCTGAACTCGGTCACGCGTCAATGGCGTGCACTGCCTAGACACGATGGCATTTAGGATATTTTGAATATTGAATCCCGAGATTTGGCTGCATGCTTTCTCAGCGTGCAGCGCCGAGGGATACGTATGTCTTCCCTCATGCGGAACCTTTTTATTGGCGCGTACTGAAAAGTATGCGCACTCGGGACCCTCTCTGAAATTGCGTGATACAGCTGAATTTTTTGGATTTGTAGGTCCCCTAGAGTAGATAGACTACGGTAGACTTTACGCCAAAGCAGGCGTCTCGCAAAATAGCTGCGCCAACATCACCTCCGGGTATCGCTCACCCTGGGTCGCGTCCGCCTTTGCAGCAACCTCCCTCACGGCCTTCAAATCTGCTGCAGACAGTTTCAGTGCACCCGCGGCAATATTCTCCTCGAGATACTGCGCGACTCAATCAGCATTCCGACTATAGATCCAAGGTAAGCAATTAAATTCACTTTAATTTTCTTCGTCCCGGGAATGGGGATAACGTCGTCGCCCTGTGCGAGGAGCCACGCAAGTGCGACTTGTCCCCCAGTCACCCCGTTATATTTGGCACCAATTTCTTTGAGTCCGTCTGCGAGCTTGAGGATGTTGGGGAAGTTGGCGGCGTTATACCTGGTGGTATACGAGCGTGAATGAACGTGCCGAAAAATTATATAGCATGCGAGACATACCGGGCGATACTTTTACGGAAATCCGAGTCGTCAAAGTCGTCTGGAGATTTCTGCGTGGACATTTAAACATTAGCCACTAGCGGTTGCCAAACAATTGGAGGCAGACGCACGAACTGGCCCGTAAGTAGGCCTCTCCCGAGCGGCGAGTACGCGACGATCTTCACGCCGAGTTCGCGCGCCGTGTTGAGTAAGTTGATCTTGGGATCCTCAATGTCGAGCGTGAAGGGCGAATACTCAACCTGCACCGCGGCAATCGGATGGACCGCATGCGCCCGGCGTAGGGTGGAAGCGGAGACCTCCGAGAGACCCAGATGCTTCACCTTGCCGGCCCTACATGCAGGAGAGCGGTAAATTAGGGGGAAATATAAGTTAAATATAACGTACTTGACTAGTTCGGCCATTGCGCTGACTGTGTGCTCGATCGGAACCTTCGCGTCTGCTCGCTGCATTGCATGTCATTGAATCAAAGATCTTCGAACGTGACGGCAAATCGCACATGAAGATAATATAGATCGATGCTTTCCACACCGAGCTTCGCGAGCGACGCGTTTGCGGCCTTCCGTACATAGTCGGGGCTCCCGTTGATCGAAAGGTCCGGTCTCATTCCGCATTTCGTGCAGAGGAAAATATCTTCACGCTTCCCGGTGCGCTTGAACCTTCCGCATCACACAATAAGTCGATCTGGACTTAAAGCATAACAGTATATGCACGCACCACTTGCCGATTAACTCTTCCGAGTCCGCGTATACATCCGCGGTGTCCCAGAACGTGCATCCGGCAGCGTGAACCGCGTCGAGCACCTGGGGAATTAATCCATGGATTTCCTGGACTCAGAGCGCAGAGATACTACACACTTTGAATCGCTCCTCATCCGAGTCCACCTGTCCGTAGAACGCTGAAATGCCCATCGCGCCGAAGCCAATGGCAGAGAAAGTCGAGTCTCCGATTTTGCGAGTAAGAGACATGCTGTGTGTTCTTTGCGAGTCTGATTTTCACCAACTCCAACGCCTCCTCTTATACTTACAGACCTCAGTAGTCACCGTCGCATTGGTTATCTTCGCCGGGTGAAGAAAAGTTTGCCGATCCATGGAGAAAGCGTCAAGAACGGAGGTTTACCTACCACTGGGTGCATCTTGCTCAGTAAGCTGAGTCGACGAGAATAGATGAGAGTTGAGTGCACCAATGCCGCGTCGGCATCTGAGGATGCGTTGACATTCGCCACTCCCCCTTCATTAATACTATACGCAAATGAATCGGTAGAAAGACCAATATTCGGTCGGCCGGGAAAACCACCTTACAACTCGACAAGCAGTGGCGAATTTCCGACATTGCGTCTCTCACTGCTCGAATTCAGCGTCAGCCTGAGCAGGGTTGCTTGAGAGTTGCACACCACTCCTCCCATCTTGGGCGATAATCAACCCAGTTCCAGGGAAGAGGCTCGGTCAGCGACGGAATCTGTGGGCATTTTCAACCTCTGAATATGAATATAAACTGGCAACCTTCAAGCGCATACGGTGGCTGTGACGATAAGAGGGATTCGGCCACCGGCAGAAACTGGTGGACCTATCGGCGGTCAAGTGAAGTTTAATTATTATTTGCCTAGTATCCCGTCGGAAGAAGTCGTCTGACGGTTTTTTTTAGCAACCCCGTCGGATGTCAAAGGTAGTCCGACGGCTCTAAAAAATCTCATTCAACCCATTCAGGTGAGTGCGCAATGCCACGCGGCCACTGTGAATTGAAAAACCTCCTACCTCGTCGGAAGAACTCGTCTGCAAACGCCAGATGACTTTTATTGCAAACCCGTCGGACGTCAAAAGCCCCTCCGACGGTCATCCTAAATATATATATGTCGGTTGAGACTTGACTTTGGGAGTCCATTACGGACGCCCTAGACTCTGTACAGCGCCGCCATTGCATCCGTTTTGCGTCGTTCGCCAGCGGGAGTACAGTTCTGATATATATATATATATATATTTTACAGAACGTACTCTTTGATTGTGCGAAAATCCAAATGACCTGGACAGCACGCGGAAGATGATTAATTTCATAGGAAGGGTGTCTGGAACAAACTCAGAGCCTCATCACTGGAAGAGTTGTCTTCGCTTCACTTCACGAATATGATATCTCCCTAATCCAAAGCGAGATCCGTCTCGACCACGATTTTCCCGACGGATGGCCATGATCTGCGGTAGTGAATCCACGGAAGGTTGGCCTCGGTGATCCTAATACTCAGCGATGGCAAATGACAGCCCGATCGCGACAGTAAATTCTGCACAACGCGACGGGGTTTGAGACAAAGCAAGGCTCCGATATACACAAGTCCATAAGAGCCGGGAGCGTCAGTTTGTCCAAAATCTGCTCGCATGATCCAGGATCTGAATTGCAGGTAAGATCCAGCGCCCACACATATACGAGTGGCGGGACGTCCGGAACATTGGCCATGATTTATTTCGGCGGTGGAAGAGGAAATGATTCACGCCCTCAAGCACTCAACCTTCGCTGCGGAACGCAAGATTTCTATGAGATCGTGGGTAAAGGGTATCCATGTGATAACAGAACCCCAGATTTTCTCCCAAGGAAGGAACTGAAATCTCGGATGGAACGCGTTAGTAATTATCACGATCTTCAAATTTGGCGCTTGGTGGAACATATTCACTAACCACGAGGCATCCGGCTGGTCGGTGCTTTGGAGCGGATCGGTACCAATGCACAAACGGCGGAGCAACGGCAGTTCGCCCGTGATCAGGAAGAGGTCGCCAAGTGCAACGCTTAAGTCGAGAGATTGAAATCGCCTGCAATGAGGTGCGATTGCTTCAACAAATTCGTGTACTGAACTACGGGGGGTCGGGACTGGCAAAGAGGGAGGTTCGGAATAATTCAGGAGGGAGATGGACAAGGGGCAGTCGCGGGAGCGACTTAACCATGTTTCCAGGAGGCGAAGTTGATGTTCGTGAGCCGCATGATTGCCAGGGTGCAAGCTTATCACAGTCCAAAGAGAGGGGGGGACATGTTGATCTCTGGGTGTTTTGGAATCAGAGTTACGACTCTGAAAGGAACGGGTTGCTTGCCTGCTGCTCAAGTCCTGAGTCCTGAGGGTGAGATTTAACACGCGAGGTACGAGCGTCGTATGTTAAAGCGTCTGTCTACGAGAGACTACGTCTTGTGCGGCTGTCGCAGCGCCGCCGCTGGTTTGGGCTTTTGCGCCGAGCAAAGATTACGGGAAGTCTGTTCGAAGATCAAGAAAGGCCCTTTGCCGATTTTAATGCAGTGGCAGGATGTCTACCCTAAAAGCACCGGCCTCTGAGCAGAAAACGAAGTGGGAAGTGGTCGTTCGGGAAGAGGAGGTGCATCACGTGTCTGATCGACGTGTTCTAATCAGCCAAATATGCGCAAATCATCTACTGTTCTGGAGTCACATTTAGTGGCTTTTGGGCGTCAGCTTGTCGAGAAAGGAAAAGAGATCTGCCTCGGCGAGAATCGAACCCGCACTCTCCACTATTTTCGGGGAATAGTGGTGTCGTTACCATTGGACCACGAGGCCCATGGGACCGCGTCCCAGAGGTAAGTACGCGACGATCTTGGCGCCGAGCTCGCCAGTAGGTTAATCTTCGGTTCCTCAATGTCGAGTGTGAAGAAATACTCAATCTGAACGGCAGCGTTGGGATGGACAGCGTGTGCTCGGTGGAGAGTCGACGCGGAGACTTCAGAAAGACCGAGGTGTTTGACTTTGCCTTCTCTGTAGGTCATGTGAGCACCCAGTTCACCTACGAGAGATGCGAGGGAATGCGCACTTGACTAGTTCGGCCATAGTACCGACTGTGAGCTATCAAGCGGGGTGTTAAATTACCATCGCGATCGGGGGCGAAGCTCAATAGGAACTTTGGCGTCCGCACGCTGAAGATGCGTAAGGTTGCTAAACAGAAAGCAACGATAGGGCAAGACATACGTGAAGGTAGTACAGGTCGATGCTTTCCACACCAAGCTTCGTGAGTGACGCGTCTACAGATTTACGTGCATTCTAGGAGCTGCCATCGATCGACAAGTCCGGCATGAATCCGAACTTCGTGGCCAGGAAGATGTCCGCGCGCTTTCCGTTGCGCTTGAACCACTTCCCGATGAACCCCTCCGAGTCCTGGTACGCGTCTGCTGTGTCCCAGAAGGTGCATCCAGCAGCATAAACCGCGTCAAGCACCTGGCAAAAATTATGGATATTCTGTGTGGATTTGCTTGGCACATACCTTGAAGTGCTCCTCGTCGGATTCTAATGAGCCGTATCCCGTCGACAGGACATCGCGCCGAATCCGAGTGCAGGGAATGTGCAGTTTCCGATTTTGCTAGTGGGAGACATTGTGCTTGTTCTGGGGACTACTTATATTGTTCCCTGCAGACGAGTGGGGTCCCTCTTATACTTCTAGTTGAATCTCGTGACGGCATCAATAAGAGTCAACTTGGCCGCCGAGTTGCGATATGAGGTTTCAGATGGTTCGTCGAAATGCGTCGGGAGGTATCGGACGGAGTGGCACTGTAGTTGTTTACGCGGTGGTACGGCTGATCGCAACATGATATCACCGCAGATCGCGGCATTTCTTTTGGCAGTAAACACCCCGCAGGCTTCGCGCGGGTAGTATTTCAAACATAAGAAATTGAGGAATCCGAGTTGGCCGAATTTCTGAGGCGCACAGGGAAGTTGCCGAGTACAGCGTTCTCCTAAGTCCTGATTGGAAATGCAACACAATTGACTGTTTTTTTTGACTAGCCTCAAATTTCCGTGGTCGGTGTTGGAAATCACATCTAGGTACCATTGAGTCGTGGGCCAATCCTTCTCCGTGTCCCTACAAATTGGACCGAAAACGAGCCCAGTAAATTCACATGTTGCACTCATCATCATAAACGAGTGATAAGCAGCTCTCCAACGACGAACGGCAGTCGAACAGGGATTATGCGACATTGCTACGCTAACTGCTGGTAGTTCCTGTCAAAGGGCAAGATTTTACCAGGTACCGGCACACACACCAGGCATTGAATCCTTGTAACTCAAGGCTAGAATCCGGATGCTCCAGCGCATCTAGCGGCGAGAAGAGCTCGGGCTCACTGTTTTAACGTTGTGCTCACTTCCGTAGCAAACACCTGACCCGATTAAATGTTAATTTGCGAAGGCCATCTCCGGGACTCGGGTTCTAGGTTGAGTTACCCGGCCGCTCTTCTTTCGCAACCGGGAGACACACTTCTGCATTTATTGTGCTGGGGTTCTACGCTCAGTGAAGGGGGAACATCGTGAACGGGAAGTAGGCGACGTAGAACCAAGTAGAACCAGTCCAGGAAATATACAGTTGATTTTGCCACCAGACGGCCTAGAAGCAGTGCCAGATTTTCCCAGCCTGGTTGGAGTGTAGAGTGAGATTGGCGCCAGGTATTTGCATGGATTTGTGCACCATCAATGTCGCGTAGAGCTACAGCGCCGGATTGGCATCGGAAGAGTGGGTTCCACGAAGGGTGAGATAGTCAAAACGTAACGCCATAAAGCGGGAGAACACCATGAGCAACACGTTCAACGCGCCCCACAAATTACACGGTACAAATTCATTGGATTTGCGAGTTCGGGAACTGAAGGTACAGCGCAGAGTAGACTACAAGAGAATTTACGGCAGGGCGGGCGTCTCGCAGAATAGCTGCGCAGCCATCGATTCGGGGTATCGCTCCCCCTGCGCCGCGTCCGCCTTTGTGGCGACGTCTCGCACGGCCTGGACGTCTTCTGCGGACAGCGTGAGGGAGCCCGCGGCAATGTTCTCTTCGAGGTACTGTGCGACGTGTTCAGCATCCCGAGGACTCTATAAGTGGGATTGAACCGACTTTGGTCTTCTTGGTCCCAGGGATGGGGATAACGTCGTCGCCCTGTGCGAGGAGCCACGCAAGCGCCACTTGGCCACCGGTTGCGCCGTTGTATTTCGCACCGATTTGCTTCAGCCCGTCGGCGAGCTTGAGGATGTTGGGGAAGTTTGAGGCGTTGTAGCTCAGGACACGATAAGTAATCGCACAAGGCCATCTAATATGCAGGACATACCGGGCGATGTATTTACGGAAATCCGTGTCCTCAAAGTCGTCGGTGGATTTCTGCAGCGGAACATGAATACCAGAGAGAGTGACTGTCAAAGAAGAAGTAACACACGTATTGGCCGGTGAGCAGCCCGCGTCCCAGGGGCGAGTACGCGACGATCTTGACGCCGAGCTCGCGCGCCGTGGCGAGCAGGTTGATTTTGGGGTCCTCGATGTCGAGCGTGAACGGCGAGTACTCAACCTGCACGGCAGCGATGGGGTGCACGGCGTGTGCGCGGCGAAGGGTGGACGCGGAGACTTCAGAAAGACCGAGGTGCTTGACTTTTCCTTCCCTGTAAGAAAATATGAGCACCAATTCACCTGCCGGAGGTGGGGCAATATTTACTTGACCAGTTCAGCCATAGCACCGACTGAGAGCTATCAAACGGGGTATTAAATTACCATCGCGATCGGGGGCGAAGAACACATGCCTCAATAGGAACTTTGGCGTCCGCACGCTGAAGGTGCGTAAGGGTGGTAAACGGAAAGTAACGATGGGGCAAGACATACGTGAAGGTAGTACAAGTCGATGGTCTCAACGCCGAGCTTCGCGAGCGATGCCTCTGCCGACTTGCGTGCATTTTCGGGACTGCCGTCGATGGACAGGTCCGCCATGAACCCGAATTTCGTGGCCAGAAAGATATCCGCGCGTTTTCCCGTGCGTTTGAACCTGCCGCATACACGATTAGTTAACGTTATCCATCCAGACAAGTCCGCTGTGTACTACGCACCACTTCCCGATGAATTCCTCCGAGTCCTGATACGCATCCGCTGTGTCCCAGAAGGTGCATCCGGCGGCGTAAGCCGCGTCGAGGACCTGGTACATGTAAACTCAATCCATGGGTGTGATATGAGCACAAAGGCACGTACCTTGAAGCGCTCCTCGTCGGATTCTACCGCGCCGTAGGCCGTTGACAGGCCCATCGCACCGAATCCAATGGCAGGGAATGTGGAGTTTCCGATTTTGCGCATGGGAGACATTGTGTTTGTTCTGGGGAGTATAATACCGTTGACAGCTTTTATACTATCTGGTGACGACATCTGATAAGCAATTTGAATGCCGCTTCGGCATTGACCGGCATTGACTTGTCTCTGTTCCAACATTCGGTTAATGACGGAACCTGTGCGACGTTCTAACTTCTGGGACTTTCGAAGATGCGGCTCCTCCCCTACTTGCCGAGACACCGCTTGCTGGCGCGCTCGCCCCCAACGGAGATGCCTTGCAGCTCAGCAACGACCTACGCAAGGACCTGAAGGGGAAACTCCGAGTCGGCCCTGAATTCACTAAACGTACGGGCCCACACGGTCATTCCTCTCCCCCAAAAAACCCGCCCCGCCTGTGACGACTTCCGAGCTCTACAAGCTGGAGGAGTTCGCTGGGAAAAAGTCTGGGAAAGCGGAGAAGGCGGGGGAAAAGGCAACCCGCGTCTATGCCAACTTCAGCAAGCTGGCGGATGTCGTAGCCATGCTCGATGGACGCGTTGCGAAGCTGACGCGCGAGCACGAGAACCTCGTGACTGAGTATAAACTCGGCGCGCAGGACGGCCGCGGTATAGCCTCGGCCCCGGCGGGGATACTTCCAAAAAGGACGACACCTTTCCTTCCCCTCACACTCCTTCCCGGCTCTTCTGTCGCTGACTACGAGAACAACGGCGACGAGATCTCCGCGCGCCTCGACGAGCTCGATCACAAAATTGACGACATCATTCGCATCACCGAGAATCAAGCCATGGATCTCGAGACCGTCGAACGCCGCACCACCACTCCGTTCACCATCACGCAGCTCAGCGACGCGGTGAAGCTACAGTTCAAGACGATCACCAGCGACCGCGACGCGGTCATCGAGATGATTCAGTCTAACGCGCCGAAACAAGCCAAAATCAATAACGCCCACGACGTCAAAGTAGCTGAGCTCGGAACTCCGGCAAGTGAGAGCCACAATTGCGCGGCTGAAGTTAGCCCCGGCTGCCCCCTCGCGCTTCGCTCCCGCTCTCGCTCGATGGCCCCGCACTCCCGCTCCCGCTCCCCACCGGCTCGCAACCGCTCTCGTTCCCCCCTCGCGCGGGCGCGCTCCCGTTCCCCCGCTGATGGCCAGGCCGCTAAGCGCCATCGTCCCGCGGCCGAGACCGAGCGCGATCGCACTATAGTGATGGGACCCCTCGAGTTCGGCAAGTCGATGGTGCCCGCGGAGGCCTTCCAACTCCACATCGACACACCTCTCCCCAACTACGACACTCCTACGCCGTTCCGCATCACTGTCTATTGCGAGGGCAACTACATCCACGCAGTCTTTCCATCGGTAGCGGAAGCCCAAGCGCTGATCAGGGCGTGGAGTGCGAATACCGTAGAGGGCTATAAGAGCATTAAAATGGTGTTAGAGGGCGCCGATCGTGGGCCACGCGAGGCCGAGCCACGTACTCAAAATTCGAGGGCCAGTGGTTCTGGGCA